CCCCGCCGCGTCTGGGTGCCTTACCCGGTGATCGTCGGCGCCGGTCCGTCGGGCCTTGCGGTAGCCGCCTGCCTGAAGGCACGTGGCATCCCGTCGCTCATCCTCGAGCGGGAGAGCTGCTTAGCCTCACTGTGGCGGCTCAAAACCTACGACCGCCTCAAACTCCACCTCCCGAGGCGGTTCTGCCAGCTGCCGATGATGGACTTCCCGGAAAAATCCCCGGAAAACTTCCCGACGAAGCACCAGTTCGTCGGGTACCTCGAGGCGTACGCGGAGAAATTCGGGCTCCGGCCGGTGTTCGGCTGCCGGGTGGTGGCGGCGGAGAACGACTGCGGCGGGATGTGGAGGGTGGAGGTGGCGGCCGCAGCGGGGGAGGGGGAGGGGGAGGTGGTGGTTGAGTACGTGTGCCGGTGGTTGGTGGTGGCGACAGGGGAGAACGCGGAGGAGGTGGTGCCGGAAATCGAGGGGGTGGAGGAGTTTTTCGGCGAGGTGGTGCACACGAGTGGGTATAGAAACGGGGAGGCGTACGTGGGGAAGAAGGTGTGTGTTGTCGGGTGCGGGAACTCCGGGATGGAGGTGAGCTTGGACCTATGCAACCACGGCGCGAGGCCATCGATCGTAGTCAGGGACACGGTAAGTGCGTTTTTTTTTTTTTTTTTNNNTGTGTGTGGTATACTGTTGAGTGTGTGTGTGTGTTTTTGTGTAAAAATTGCGGAAAAAATCGAGGTTAAGATGTATGTTTTTCTACACCTTCCAGTGTGTGTGTATTTGTGTAAAATTTGCGGAAAAAAATTAGAGTGCGGTTGTTTTTACAGTTTGATCGACAGAGACGTTTGTGTATGTGTGTCTACACCTTCAGTGTGTGTGTTTTTGTGTTTCTTTAAGATACGAGGAGATGCTACAGTCCCGTTACGAAACTATTTCGCCGGGTTGAATTCGTAACTGTTGGATCATCAAGTAATCGTCGAGATAGTTGATCTAATGGTTACAAACCACGACAGAATATTTCGTAACCGAACGTTGCATTTTCCTAAGATATGAATTTATCTAGTGACCAGTGAGTGTGTCTTGTGTGTGTGTTTTTCCATTTTTTCACTTTGACCTTTTTTTTTTCTTTTGTTTCCCTTTTTTTTTGGGTCCCATTCAGAATGTTGACTTCTGGGTATCCTTCAATTTCAGTTTTGACCTTTAAAAGGAAAAAGTGAGGAAAAGTTTGATTTTGGATTTTGTAATAATAATCGATGATTTTAAAATTAAATAAACTTTTGATTAAATGAAATCTAACAACGTATGCATTATGTCAATTTCATGTTTGTGCATCATTTTTTTTT